GTGACCTTGGGAGGTCACATGACCGATGTGGCCTATGGCAGCCATTCTATAACTCAGGAACTACTGGGCCGATCGCGACGAAAACACCACCAGTCGATTCAGCGTATGCGATTTCATCAGCCGTTTCGAATATCGTGACCTCAGGTGACCTCGGTGACCTCAAAAGGTCAACTTTACGTTTTCGCCTATTGCAGCCATTCTATAACTCAGGAACTACTGGGCCGATCGTGACGAAAACACCACCAGTCGATTCAGCGTATGTGATTTCATCAGCCGTTTCGAATATGGTGACCTTAGGTGACCTCAGTGACCTTGGGAGGTCACATGACCGTTGTGGCCTATGGCAGCCATTCTATAACTCAGGAACTACTGGGCCGATCGCGACGAAAACACCACCACTCGATTCAGCGTATGCGATTTCATCAGCCGTTTCGAATATGGTGACCTCAGGTGACCTCGGTGACCTTGGGAGGTCACATGACCGATGTGGCCTATGGCAGCCATTCTATAACTCAGGAACTACTGGGCCGATCGCGACGAAAACACCACCAGTCGAATCAGCGTATGCGATTTCATCAGCCGTTTCGAATATGGTGACCTCAGGTGACCTCGGTGACCTTGGGAGGTCACATGACCGATGTGGCCTATGGCAGCCATTCTATAACTCAGGAACTACTGGGCCGATCGCGACGAAAACACCACCAGTCGAATCAGCGTATGCGATTTCATCAGCCGTTTTGAATATGGTGACCTCAGGTGACCTCGGTGACCTTGGGAGGTCACATGACCGATGTGGCCTATGGCAGCCATTCTATAACTCGGGAACTACTGGGCCGATCGCGACGAAAACATCACCAGTCGAATCAGCGTATGCGATTTCATCAGCCGTTTCGAATATGGTGACCTCAGGTGACCTCAGTGACCTTGGGAGGTCACATGACCGTTGTGGCCTATGGCAGCCATTCTATAACTCAGGAACTACTGGGCCGATCGCGACGAAAACACCACCAGTCGATTCAGCGTATGCGATTTCATCAGCCGTTTCGTATATGGTGACCTCAGGTGACCTCGGTGACCTCAAAAGGTCAACTTAACGTTTTCGCCTATTGCAGCCATTCTATAACTCAGGAACTACTGGGCCGATCGTGACGAAAACACCACCAGTTCTTCTAAACCAGTTCTTCTGGGTCGCGATCGGCCCAGTAGTTCCTGAGTTATAGAATGGCTGCCATAGGCCACAACGGTCATGTGACCTCCCAAGGTCACTGAGGTCACCTAAGGTCACCATATTCGAAACGGCTGATGAAATCGCATACGCTGAATCGACTGGTGGTGTTTTCGTCACGATCGGCTCAGTAGTTCCTGAGTTATAGAATGGCTGCAATAGGCGAAAACGTAAAGTTGACCTTTCGAGGTCACCGAGGTCACCTGAGGTCACCATATTCGAAACGGCTGATGAAATCGCATACGCTGATTCGACTGGTGGTGTTTTCGTCGCGATCGGCCCAGTAGTTCCTGAGTTATAGAATGGCTGCCATAGGCCACATCGGTCATGTGACCTCCCAAGGTCACCGAGGTCACCTGAGGTCACCATATTCGAAACGGCTAATGAAATCGCATACGCTGAATCGAGTTGTGGTGTTTTCGTCGCGATCGGCCCAGTAGTTCCTGAGTTATAGAATGGCTGCCATAGGCCACAACGGTCATGTGACCTCCCAAGGTCACTGAGGTCACCTAAGGTCACCATATTCGAAACGGCTGATGAAATCGCATACGCTGAATCGACTGGTGGTGTTTTCGTCACGATCGGCCCAGTAGTTCCTGAGTTATAGAATGGCTGCAATAGGCGAAAACGTAAAGTTGACCTTTTGAGGTCACCGAGGTCACCTGAGGTCACCATATTCGAAACGGCTGATGAAATCGCATACACTGAATCGACTGGTGGTGTTTTCGTCGCGATCGGCCCAGTAGTTCCTGAGTTATAGAATGGCTGCCATAGGCCACATCGGTCATGTGACCTCCCAAGGTCACCGAGGTCACCTGAGGTCACCATATTCGAAACGGCTGATGAAATCGCATACGCTGAATCGACTGGTGGTGTTTTCGTCGCGATCGGCCCAGTAGTTCCTGAGTTATAGAATGGCTGCCATAGGCCACATCGGTCATGTGACCTCCCAAGGTCACCGAGGTCACCTGAGGTCACCATATTCGAAACGGCTGATGAAATCGCATACGCTGAATCGACTGGTGGTGTTTTCGTCGCGATCGGCCCAGTAGTTCCTGAGTTATAGAATGGCTGCCATAGGCCACAACGGTCATGTGACCTCCCAAGGTCACTGAGGTCACCTAAGGTCACCATATTCGAAACGGCTGATGAAATCGCATACGCTGAATCGACTGGTGGTGTTTTCGTCACGATCGGCCCAGTAGTTCCTGAGTTATAGAATGGCTGCAATAGGCAAAAACGTAAAGTTGACCTTTTGAGGTCACCGAGGTCACCTGAGGTCACCATATTCGAAACGGCTCATGAAATCGCATACGCTGAATCGACTGGTGGTGTTTTCGTCGCGATCGGCCCAGTAGTTCCTGAGTTATAGAATGGCTGCCATAGGCCACATCGGTCATGTGACCTCCCAAGGTCACCGAGGTCACCTGAGGTCACCATATTCGAAACGGCTGATGAAATCGCATACGCTGAATCGACTGGTGGTGTTTTCGTCGCGATCGGCCCAGTAGTTCCTGAGTTATAGAATGGCTGCCATAGGCCACATCGGTCATGTGACCTCCCAAGGTCACCGAGGTCACCTGAGGTCACCATATTCGAAACGGCTGATGAAATCGCATACGCTGAATCGACTGGTGGTGTTTTCGTCGCGATCGGCCCAGTAGTTCCTGAGTTATAGAATGGCTGCCATAGGCCACAACGGTCATGTGACCTCCCAAGGTCACTGAGGTCACCTAAGGTCACCATATTCGAAACGGCTGATGAAATCGCATACGCTGAATCGACTGGTGGTGTTTTCGTCACGATCGGCTCAGTAGTTCCTGAGTTATAGAATGGCTGCAATAGGCGAAAACGTAAAGTTGACCTTTCGAGGTCACCGAGGTCACCTGAGGTCACCATATTCGAAACGGCTGATGAAATCGCATACGCTGATTCGACTGGTGGTGTTTTCGTCGCGATCGGCCCAGTAGTTCCTGAGTTATAGAATGGCTGCCATAGGCCACATCGGTCATGTGACCTCCCAAGGTCACCGAGGTCACCTGAGGTCACCATATTCGAAACGGCTGATGAAATCGCATACGCTGAATCGAGTGGTGGTGTTTTCGTCGCGATCGGCCCAGTAGTTCCTGAGTTATAGAATGGCTGCCATAGGCCACATCGGTCATGTGACCTCCCAAGGTCACCGAGGTCACCTGAGGTCACCATATTCGAAACGGCTGATGAAATCACATACGCTGAATCGACTGGTGGTGTTTTCGTCGCGATCGGCCCAGTAGTTCCTGAGTTATAGAATGGCTGCAATAGGCGAAAACGTTAAGTTGACCTTTCGAGGTCACCGAGGTCACCTGAGGTCACCATATTCGAAACGGCTGATGAAATCGCATACGCTGAATCGACTGGTGGTGTTTTCGTCGCGATCGGCCCAGTAGTTCCTGAGTTATAGAATGGCTGCAATAGGCGTCAATGCCGAGTTGACCTCTTGAGGTCACCGAGGTCACCTGGGGTCACGAGCTTCGAAACGGCTGATAAAATCGTACCCCCTGATTCGAATGGTGTTTCGTTCGTTCCGATCGGTCCAGTAGTTCCTGAGTTATAGAGTGGCTGCAAGGGTGGCGGTCGAATAGTGTTGTCCAAAAAGCGACTGGTACAGAAGATTTGCAGTTTCTTTTTCTCATTTTGGCTGTTCTTTCTTCCTCACCGGGCTCAACATTATAAAATATATTAAAAATTAGCTTCGAATCTTCACATTAATTCAAAATCACGCAACATTTTTGTGCGTAGTTTACACCACTGATATCAAGAGCTTGATAAAATATTTGGCGTTAATTACGTCGTTTTATGAAACCCAAATGGCATCAATTGGTCCGGAATCGAGCATTTGCCGTAAATGAAGCTCCGTACTTTCGATGGCGTGAATTACTCCGGTCTCCGGCTTTATGAAACCGAATTGGCATCAAATACGCCAAATCTGGCATAATTGACGGAACGCCGTAAGTAATTCCCTTTATGAAACGAGGCCCTGGTGGCGGAGCTCCGAAACATCGGTGGCGAGTGCGCCGGCGGCCGCTGCACAGGCTTGCGTGCTAAAAACGCGGTAATGGAGGGCGAAATTAGCGAACTTAAGCTCATAAGACACGATTTCAGAGACTTCACACATATTTAAGTTCTTTCTCATCATTATTATGGCTCCATTTAGTCACCATCACATACGGAATCGTTACCTGATGCCCATAAACTGAGCCGGTATTCTTGACTTACCGATGCAATTTATCATCAAATATCATCGTTCCGCGGCAGTCAAACAAGTTCCTATTGATGATTTAATACAAATATCAACTTATTTTCATGTTATCACACAAAACTTCACTTTTCTCTAACATTGGCTCTTCGGCTGTAATCACGAGCCCTCACTTGTGAGCAGAATTTAAGAAACTTCTTAAATCAAAACTGGGAAAATAATTTTTTCATGACATTCCTCAACTCCTGTTCTACCAGGTTCACAAAAATTTTCATCAAAATCGGTTACAGGTAAGTAATAAACGACAAAAGTATACAAAAAGACACGCGCCGCCCATAGCCCGCAATGCTAAAATGGCGCCAGCGCCCTCGCCGTCGGGAAATCCGCCGCCGCCGCCGGGTGGTCGGAAAATCGGCGGAGTGTCCCATCCAGGAGTACCTAATCCATGTCCCCGCGGTGCGCCCGGGCCACACGGTGGCACAGCGCCGGCCCTGACCCGTGACCTCTCAGCGCCCGAGGCAGCGACCTGTCACTCACCTGCCGGTGACCGAGCCGGGCCGCGACCGAGGCAGGGTAGAGGGAGGAGACCGCGGCGGCGCGGTGCGCGGGCCACAGAGGGGCCGCCGCCGCCGCGTGCGGGGAGCGGCACACGCCTGTCTGCACATCGCGGCACTGAACATTCAGAGCCTGAAGCCCAAACTCCTAGAGCTCTCGGACGTGCTGCGACGTCGCGACTTCGATGCCGTGCTCCTTTCCGAGACGTGGCTGAGACCCTCCACTCCTAGCCGACTCGTCGTTCTTCCCGGCTACACCATCAGCCGTACGGATCGGCCCGACGGACGGGGGTACGGCGGCGTGGCCATCCTTACCAAGACCGGTTTAACCACATCCAACCTCAAGATCGCTGGTTCCGGAAGCCCCAACAGCAGGCTGGAGTCGTGCTGGGCGCGGGTTAAGCTTGATCGGGGACGTCAGCTCGTCATCGGCTCCCTGTACCGGCCGCCCCGGTACACAGTAGCTGCCCTGCAGGACGACTTCAATGACCTGGAGATGCAGCTGCACCGTATACTGGTTGACTTTCCCGGGGTCCCACTGGTGATCTGCGGTGACCTGAATTGTGACTTGCTCAAAGACCACTGTGATCCCTCGCGTCGCCGGCTCGCTGAGTTTTTATCGGATCACTCTCTGCACCAGCTCGTGAGTCGTGACTTCGGCCACTTTCACCTCCGGTTCTTTACTCGACTTATGTATGGTTGACAATCGAGATAACGTTAAGAGTTTGTGCGTTCTAAACTGTGATTTTAGCCCTCACCATCTTATCAGTGTTCGAGTCAGTGTTCCTAAACCACATGTGAAGCCCACAGTCATTTTCTCACGCAATTTTATACATTTGGATGCTGCCGCTTTTAACCACCATGACCTGAGCTGTGTGGACTGGGGGAAGGTATTCGCTGCGCCGACGGTGGGTGAGCAGTGGACTGCCTTTGTGAACCGATTTCTGCCCATTGTTGACGCTCACGCTCCGCTGCGGAAACTTACGATCCGCAACCCCACCGCGCCCCCGGTCTCCCCGGCCACCCGTGACCTGATGGCCCGCCGCCGGGCAGCGCTGACTCACGCCGGCCGGGACTCCGCCGAGTACCGCGATTTAAACCGGGCCGTCCGGTCCGCTATACGCAGTGACAGGCGCCGCGACATACAGAGGGAGATCGGTGAGCGTGGTCCGGCCAGAGTGTGGCGCTGTATTAGGTCGGTGGTGGCTGGGAAGCGGGGTGATGGGTCTGTGCGGCCCGACGCCATGCGGCTGACCAGCTGAACGAGTTTTTCGTTTCGGTCGGTCCGAGGGTGGCGGCGAAGATCGGGGCGCGGGGGCCGGTGCCTACCGTTGATACGCGTTTACCCCGTGTGGGTGCCTGTTCGTTCGCGCTCTCCCCCGTGACCCGGGAGATGCTCGGACACACGATCTTCAGCATGCGGAGTTCGGCTGCCTCCGGTGCCGATGGTGTCTGCATCCGCATGCTGAAAATCGGTTTCCCAGCTATCAGTGATCCCCCCTATCGCTGGCGGACAGATCTGGTCGGATACGGAAAGAAGTGTAGTTTCCGTGGAGTGGTGAGTTCGAAAACCGTGCTGACTGGATGAAAGGAGGTGTTTGCTGGTGAGGTAGTTGTAGAGCTGTCGGTGGTGAACAACGCGCTCGACTACTTTGGTAATGACAGGAACAAGAGATATGGGACGGAAGTTAGTAGGGTCAGAGGGGTCACCGGATTTGTGAATAGGATTGACTAGGGAGTGTTTCCAGGGAGCTGGGATGTCGGAGTGTGTGATGCAGGAATTGATGATATGCAGGAGGAGATTTCAATGTTGTGCCTCATTGACTTGAGCAAATGTTTCGACGTCATCAACCACGATATTTTACTGCGAAAACTGAGTCTGCACGGCATTGAGATCTCCTGGTTCGCCGCCTATCTTCGGGGACACACACATAGCGTGTCCCTGAACGATGGGTCCGGATGCAGGGTGCTGTCTCGGCCGCTCGCCAACGACATGGGTGTCTTCCAAGGTTCAGTTTTAGGTCCGCTCTTATTTACTATTTTCGCAAATAACTTATCTCTACACGCTGATGGAGCTCTAGTGTTTCAATACGCGGATGACACCCAATTGTTGGTGAGCGGTCCGAAAGATGACGTCGGGGGACTCACCTCTCGCATGGAACGTTCACTGTACTCACTAAGCTCTTGGTTTAGTTCTCACTCGCTGAAAGTTAATGCAAACAAAACCCAACTTGCTATCTTTGGCAGACTCTGCGCTCTCTTCTGAACATAACAGTAACATTTTGCGAAGTAGCTTTGAAACCCCAAGCAGAGGTGAGAAACCTGGGCGTCGTCTTCGACGGTGCCCTGACCTGGGAAGCACATGTGTCCGAGCTGTGCCGGCAGTGCGCCGGTGTGCTCGTCGGCTTTTTTCACATTAAAATAGTTTATTCAACACGACTCAACAGCACCGTTCATTCAGACACAGCATTGGCTTCGTCCACGCACAGGTGCCGGCCCATGCGGCGTACAAAAAAAGAAAGAAACAGAAACATCCTCACGATATTCGCAAAACACCGCCGGCATCCGGCACCATCGCCAAGCGACCGCCGCAACGCGCGCGCCCGACGCCGCCGCGTTCCTGAGAACGATTTATCCCTGTTTACCGCACAAGTGATTCATTCAGAGATGAGTCCTTAAGTCCGTCCAGATTAGTTTGAGAGGTTCGTACCATGATGCCGTCCGTCCGAGTCCGTCCGAATGAGGCCAGGAAGTCTGTCTGCCCTAACGGTACGCCGGGCGGCCTGCCCGGCCGAGCCGGGACGGCGCTCCGAAATCAGCGGAGACCGTCCCGGTCCCGGGGAGGACTGCGGTCCTCAGCCGCCTAGCCGAGGGTCCTCCCCAGCCGGGAGGATCAGGGCTCCCCCCGGCGCTCCCGACAGGCCGCCGGGCGTCAGCTCCCGCCCGCGCCGCCCCGGCGCAGGCACTGGGCGGCGCGAGTCCGGGAAGACTGTATCAGGTGGATCCAGATAAGAGTAAACCCAATGGGCTAGTCGCGCCATCGCGACAGAGGGCGCAGTATGGGCGCCCAAAGTTCATCGCATCTAGTCTTCCTGTCTGTAATTACACTTATGTATTTTTCAACTCTGTAAACACGGAATAATACCTTGGCCATTTCTTCAACACTCGGCCGATTTTTGTTCGTCCGACATCGCCAAACATATTGTTTTGCGATCAATATTAAAAGTTGTATTGACTCTGTAGACATGCTGGGAGATCCATGCTCTAACTTATTAAGAATAACACTAACTCTGTCCAACAACGTTATACTATAAACACGATTCATATCTCGCCAGAACGTTTGGGCTACTTCGCACTCCCAAAAAACGTGGAGAAGACTTTCTGGGACCACAGGACAATAGTAACATTCGTTTGAATCCACTATGCCAAAAATTTGCAGCCTCTTATTTGCTGGAAGAATACGGTGGATTAACCCTCGCCCGCACATGGGGGGGGGGTGGTTGCCACCCCCCCCAGGTAGTCTTTCTGCTCTGCACTCAACATTTTTAGAGCTAGAAGGCTGACTTTTCGTATAGCTGCTCCTCTATCCTTTCTTGATGTTCACTGAAAATTTCAAGTTTCTGTGATTTTTGGTTTCGGAGATATGACCTTGTTTTTCAGGTCATGTCATGACCCAAATGGCCAATTCTCAACATCTTGCGCTTGCCATGGGCCTTGTGAGCTTTTGACACCCTGATTTCGGCCGTTTTTGCCAGTCTTACCTCCCACCTATCATGGAACATGTTGTTCGACGATGTACAGGGGTCAAGGTCAGGGTCAAGGTCAACCTAGGTCACCTAAGATAATTGCGTTTTAGGCAAGCTGAATTTACTTTTTGTGAAGTTTTTTGACTGCATTTTTGGTAACCGCTTCTCAGATCATGATTTCATGTAATATGGACCCAAAAACAATCGGTGCACACATCAGTATACACACAGACACACACAGACATACAAACACATATAATTGACCTTGACCTAACTTGACCTGAAATGACCTCAGCAGCAAAATTCTGGTCGGGTAGTGTGACAAAGAGGTTCTAGCTGGCTTGGCACCAGAAAACAGCATCGTCATCGGTATTTGATAAGCAGCGCACTTGATATCCAACGGTGACCCAAAACAGCAACATTTTTTAGTTTGACCTGACCTGGAAGGTCAATGACTGACCTGAGAAGGTAAAACTGGGTATCATTGGATTCGTCTCTTCCCAAAGAATCTTTTTGGTCTTTACTGCTAAGCTCTATCTCCAACAGGAACGAAATGGCGCGGGGGGGGGGTGGCAACCACCCCCCCCCCCCATGTGCGTTCTAGGATGGGAAAATGGCATGTGCGGGCGAGGGTTAACCTCAATTGCAACCAGCGTACTGCTATGTCATCCGTTGTTTTGTACAAAGCATCATACACTTTGGTCCACTGCATATTGACAGGCAAATTCAATTCTCTGGCCCATTTTGAGTGACTGATTTCTGGCTCAACGCAAGTTTTAAACAACTTATGGTAAGCCCATTTTGCCACGTGCGTGGCTGATTCTAGCTCTAAAAGTTCAGCTGAGTAATTCTGAAAAATCGCGGGCTTGTCTGCTATAAGAGTCAGTTTCCATTCGTTTGGGATAGAGGTTAATAATGCCAGGGCAGATAGTGGATGCAACCCGTATTTTGAACTTAGCTCTCGAGCTGCATACATTGACCTGGTTTGAATATTATATAAATTTCCGATGCGCACCACATTGTTTCTTTCCATCAGTCTCCATTCGTAAACACCAGATGCTTCGAGTTTAATATTTGCGTTTAAACACAGGACTTGACTTAACACCGCTTCCCCTGGTAACTTGGCCTCCTCTGGCCTCTTTATTACGTTCCACGCTAAAAGTGCTTCTCTCCAGAATGCGCTTTTCACTTTTCTCTGGATAACCTCCGGGGACATATTACATTCAAAGATATTGAGATCGTTTGGCAACGAAAATATAGGCTTCACTACATTTTTTCCAGCTCGACTTCAGGTCATTATCAGCGTACTTTTTTATCCACATTATCTTTAGACTATCTGCCCGGCAATTGATGTCTGGAACTTGTATCCCTCCATGTTTATATTTACTTTTTAACGTGGCCCGCTTTATTTTGTCTTTTTTGTTCCCCCATATAAAATTGAATATTATTGTTTCAATCGACTTAACCCGCGCCCGGCTGGGGGTCCTGGATTTCCACGCCCTGCTGGGGGGGTGTTTGAACACCCCCCCTTCTAACTCGGCTCCTGGGCCACGTAGCGATACGCGGAAGGCGGCGTTCGAAAGAGCGTCAAAAATAATGACGAAATCACTTCGGTCAATTTTTTGGTCAGGTCAAAGGTCAGGTCACCAGAGGTCATTGAAGGCAAAATTTCGCCGATTTCCAGGTCGAATGTCGAAAATTTCCAAGAAGCCAACGCATAACTCGGGAACCAATAGAGCTACAGCGCCGCGGAAAAGCGCATTCGATAGCCCTATTAACGCCCTTTCTGGAAAATCTCTCAGATTTGACCTAACGTCAACGGTTTTGCCTGCAGGGGGCAAAAAC